TCCCTATTACTCACACAGGAAATATTCAGCAGTCAGTCTTAGTCCAAAATACCTGCTCAGAATTACTGAGCAGAACATGTAGCCAGAGAGAGATGCCAACAGACAGAATGCCCTCTCTATGTCCTCATGGAGCTTGGTATCCAACAAGCTGGTCAGTGCTGGTGTTACCGTGTAGCCACTACCAGGCACACGGGAAACGAGTACTTCACTGTCAAGTCTAGGAAGAGACCTGCCCATTTAGAGTGAGGTGGGATTAATAACGATATGACACAAAGAGAGCTTGAGTTGGGGTGGAGCTTTGAAGAAATACAGCAGTACTGGGAGCCGGGTCAAGGGCTTCCTGACTAAGAGAATAACTCACGTACTTGAGGCAAGGAGTATGATTTTGTATGAGAAGGCCTCGAACACCCCCGAATTCCTAATCCCATAGAAAACACTCTTGGAATGCCGGGTATGGTAGTGTATGCCAGGAATCCTGGCACTCGAGATGGAGGCAGGATTGTGAGTTTGAGGTTATCTACGAGTCTAGACCCTGTCTTTTAAAAAAAGAAAGGCCTGGCTGTGGTGACACACGCCTTTAATCCCAGCACTTGGGGGGGCAGAGGCAGGCAAATCTCTGAGTTTGAGGCCAGCCTGGTCTACAGAGAGAGTTAGGACAGCTAGGGCTATACAGGGAAGCCATCTTAAAAATATAGAAGGAAAAATATAAAAAAAGAAAGAAAAGAAGGAAGGAAGGAACTGGAGAGACAGCTTAGCTGTTAAGAGCGCTTGTTCCTCCAGAAGACCTGAGCTCAGTTCCCAGAACCCTCATCGGGTGGCCACATGGATTGTGGCTTCAGTTCTAGGGGAGCTACAGGCACCCTCTTTTGGCCTCTGTGAGGACCTGTACACATCTTTCTCTCTCTTTCTCATACACACACATACACACTCTAAAGCTTTTGTGTAAAAAAATGAAAACAGACATTTTGGATAATTTCTTTGCAAATGTTAAAAAGTTAAAAACCCATAGAAACATTAAACACACATACACATAGCCTTGGAAAAATAATTTCTTTTTACTCCAGTTTTCTCACCTGTCAAAGGGAGTAATAAAATGCTAGATATGGTAGCTCACACCTGTAATCCTGACCTTTGAAGGTAGAGTCAGAAAGATCAAGATGTTCAAGATCACCCTCAGTAGTGAGTTCAAGGCCAGCCTCAGTTACGGTGAGACCCTGTTTAAAAACAGACAGACATTAGAGTGGGGCTACGAGGAATAAATGAAACAGCACATGGTGCAATAAAATTTCACCAAGATTTGTGCTGTTATTTGTCTTGGATAACGTCACTTGCAGGTCCGACATTTCCAACCAAACCGGACTTAGCGTCTCTGAACCCAGTCCTGTGACCGTGGCAAACCCAACCTGCCCGTGGTAGTTTAGGACCTGACCTGACCTCTGGCCACTCCTCAGGGCCTCTCGCCCCTACCTTCATAATCGCCTCCCATCTCTGCTCGTCTCTCACGCCTCTCCTCCCTCCCTTTGTCATGGGGGACCATGAGGAAGTCACGGTTGCTCTTCTCCACTTAGTGCCTGCTGAGGAGGAAGACTGACAGCGTGAAGGGTCGCTTGTTCTGGAAACCTTTCAGTAGTCAGAGCTTGACAGAAGTGATGGTGTAGACCAACAGTTCTCAACCTGTGGGCCGAGACCCCTCCGGGACGTCAAATGACCCTTTCACAGGGGTCACATATCAGATATCCTGCATATAAGACATCGACATTACAATTAATAACAATAGCAACATCACGGTTATGAAGTAGCAACAAAATAATTTTGTGGTTGGGGGCACCACACAGGAAGAACTGTATTAAAGGATCAGAGCCGTGGGAAGGTTGAGAACCAGTGGTGTGGAGTCCGAAGAAGCTTGGGTAAGGTGGAAGGTTCTGAGACCAAGATGGTGGCTGAGAGAGAAAGTGAATCAAGGAGAAGCAACTCTCCTCAGCCCTCTCAAAAGAAATGTATGTGTTTTAAAATAGATTATTTTCTTCTTTCTAATCATGTGTTTGTGGGGGCATGGGCATTTTCACACGTTTATGTCATACTTTGTTCCCTTTTCTTCTTGTTTAGACGGCGTCTCATTTATGTGGCTCAGGCTTGACTCGAACTTAGATATCTGATTATCTCTCTGCCTCCCTGCTGGACTTCAAAGCAATCACTGTCAAGTGTGGCCTCAGATTTTGTCCTTATTAATTTCTCTTCAAAACCAACCTCCACATATATAATTTAATTTTTAAAATTGTATCATCATCAACATCATCATCATCATTCTTATTTTGCTTTTTCAAAACGGGTTTCTCTGTGTAGCCCTGGCTGTCCTGGAACTTGCTCCTTAGACCAGGCTGGCCTCGAACTCACAGAGATCCAATTGCCTCTGCATCTCAAGTGCTGGGATTAAAAGAGCGTGCTCAGACTGGCCTTGAATTTGCTATGTGGTCCAGGCAGACCTCAAACTTGTAATCCTTTTGCGGGTGGCTGAGATTATAGGCATGGGCCTTCAAGGCCAGCTGAAAGACAGAATTATAAATAGCTTTCCTCTGTGACACTGCACATATAAGCTCCTCGGTAAACACATTCTGTGCATGTGTGGGTGCATGTGCACTTCAGGATGAGGTCAGAGGAAAGCCCGGGGTGAGCGAAAGCCCGGGGTGAGCGATCCTGCCTTCTCCTTTTTTTTTTTTTTTTGAGGCAAAGTCTGTTGTTCACCATTGCACATGTCAGAGTAGTTGGCTCAAGAGTGAGCAGAGATTCTCCTGCCTCCCATCTCCCTGTAGGAGCCCTGGGGCGACAGAGACTTGCTGCCATGTTGGGCTTTTAACTGGGTTCTGGGGACTCAAACTCAGGGCTTCTTGCCTATGTGACAAGCACCTTATCCACTGGGCCATGGCTCCATCCTGGCGTTCATCTCCTAAGAGGTAACCTATAAAGGCATCTGAGAATAGTAGATGAGCTGATAGGTACTAACGTATGAAGAGGAGAATGTGTCATAAAGCATGAAATGGCAGAGTGCCGGCCCAGTCTGCGGCAGCGGACGTCATTTCATTCCTCTGTGCTATTGCAACTTTTGCTACTACTGACTGAATTTAGAGAGAAAATGAAAATGCTACCAGGTCACAGCTTTGCAGGGCTGAGATCCTGATGTCACCCCCCAGGGCATTCCTCAGAAGAAGGCGCCGTTGTCACTTTTGATGACCGAGGGAGGTGAATCCCTCAAGGAGAAAGAACGGGCTTTGAGCTGTTCCTCAGCAAGCTCACTAAGGAGGTTTTCTGGGAAGGACCAGGCAGGGCCAGCTTCCACGGCTAAGCCTGTGTGAGCCCCACCACTTAGTGCTGAAGAAGAGTCCGGAAGTGGAGGCCAGAAGCGGAGGCCAGAAGCCAGGGGCTCATCAAGGGCTGCCATTCGCCCTGGCACACTCGGCAATGCCACACTAGTCACACAACTTTGCCTTTGTCCCCCAGGCTCCCAAGCCATCTCTGCCCTGACCTCATTCACTGCTAGGCCTGGTTTTGGGTTGGTTAGAAGTTTGCCATCTATATTTTAATGACAGGAGGTTGGGTGAGAAAGAAGATGGGGCTGGGAGAAAGATGTGGACCTTCCCAGTGGGTCAGCAGCACCGCTGTGAAGGGCTCAGCTCCCCTGCTTCCGTGGCGCTTCCCTGTTCCATAGAACACGGGTTCAGAGAGCGCAGTGACTTGGTCCAGTCACAGAGCACCTGAAACCCAGGTATACCAATTACCTTTCTGATTGCTGTGACCGAAGGCCGCTCAAGAGGGAGCAAGGGTTTATGTTGGTTGACAGTTTGAGGGGTTACAGCCATCACGGTGGGGAAGGCGCGGTGACAGGAGATGACGAGTGGTTGGTCACGTTGTTTCCACCATCAGGAAGTAGAGAGCGGGCAGGAAGTTGGGTCAGGCTAAGAGATCTTCAGGCTCACCCCCAAAGGCCCACTTCTATGGGCAGGCTTCACCAAAGGCTGGCTCGCTGCCTGAGACCAAGCATGTAAACACACACGAGCCCAAGGGAGACATTTTATATTCGGACCATTCCAAATGTGAAGGGGAACAGGGGGCTTGGGCTTGAACTCAGCAGGAATCCCCCTCCTAGTCTCGGTCTTCCCCTCTCTCCCTTTCAGGTCCCCGCCCCCACCAGGCAATTATGTGCCCACCCCACCTTGCTTTCTTGCCCTTATTTATTCTTGCCCTGACTTATTCCAAAAGGATTTAAGGCAGCACCAAGTAGTTTCCTGTCCCGTAGCCTGCGTGGCTCCGGTCTGTAATCCTGGCACTCAGGAGTCTGAGGCAGGAGGATTGACAGGAGTCCAGGTTGACTCCTGAGAAGTAAGATGCTGTCTCAAGAAAACCAGTAAGCTGGGCCAGGGAGATGGCTCTGGGTAACGGTGCTTGCTGCTCAGCCCGAGTTCAGTTCCGGGACCTGACTCCTTCCTGTGCTCTGACCTCCACGTGTTTGCCGTGGCATACACGAGGCCTCCCTGCTCCAAATGTGCAAGCAAATAAATAAGTAGTGTGAAACATGCAAATTAACCAGAGAGCAAAAGCTCTAGCGCAAAGCTAAGAGCCTGTGTTCCTCCACTTTCCTGGTTCTTCTTTCTCCTCAGGAAGGACCACATTCTGGTCCCGCAGCAGCTTTTCAGCTTCTCGGTGAGTTTTCTTTTCCTCTGACTAAACTCAAAATACTTAAAAGACACTTTTAGACTTGTTGAGCAATCCCAGTCAGCTGAGGGAGAGGGTGGAGGAGGGTTAATAGGTGAACTACATTGGTGATTCCCAAAAAATTAGTCACCACATACAAAATACCCACTAAGACTTTTTTATTTTATTATTTTATTTTATTTTATTTTTTGCCGTTATTGCTGCCTGGGGTGTGCAGGACTGTAATCCCAGGGCTTGAGGGGTTTGATGCTAGTCTGGGCTGCAGGAGACCCTTTCTCAAAAAACCAGATCAGAGCTTTGTGCAGTGGCAGTATCGTAGCCAATGAGGTTTATCTGAGGCGTGATTATTGCTAATTGAAAAAAATTGTCGATACCTTGTTATGAAGGGGCGGAGCCTATGAGACTCCACCCCTTCCTGAGGATGCAGTTACTGGTTGGTAGGGCTGTGGGGTCAAGGGGTGGTGGGGGTGGGCATTTTCTTCAACAACAGTGTGTTTCTATAAGCAGCCGTAATGAATCACATTGGGTCATTAAAAATGAACAGCCTGGAGAGATGGCTCAGCAATTAAGAACACTGAGTGCTCTGGCAGGGGAAGCATCTTCAATTCCCAGTATCCATATGGCAGCTCACAAGTGTCTGTAACCCCAGTTCCAGGGGATCTGACATCCTCACACAGACACACATGCAGATAAAACACCAGTGGACATAAAGTGAAAAATAAATAAATTATTTAAAAAAAAACAGTCATAAAGGTTTTCTAAAAGGTTATTTATGGGGTTGGGGTAGAGCACATACTTAGCATGTATGAGGTACTGGGTTCAACACACACACACACACACACACACAGAGCTAACTAAATAGATGCTTGATATTTAAAACACACTACCAACTGCCTTTATTGTGCCCTGGTCTTGGGAACCAGGAGGCACCAGGCAGGGCATACTCCTACACAGCCGCAATAAAACTAGGGATGGAGGCCTTATGTTCTTTGTTCATTGCTGCAGGTGTCTTTTAGGCCAGAGGTTACCGATCTCTGTCAAGGCTTAGTGTCATCAGGTTCAAAGTCCTTCCTAAAGATCAAGGAAATTGGCATCTGCTTGACAACAGACAGCAAAACCTTGAGGGTACAGTGGCAATTGACAAGGAGGGTAAAAGACCTGGGGAAACCAAAGAACCTTTCCCCTTTTCCATAGAGAGACCGTTGTGATGAATCAGAAAGGGCTGAGAGGGGTGAGGTGACATCCCAGACCTGTGTCCATTCCCTTTCATGCTCAGCTACGGATGAGGTGTGTGTGTGTGTGTGTGTGTGTGTGTGTGTGTGTGTGTGTGACTGGGGATTAGACCTGGCTCATTTTGCATGCTAAGCAAGAGCCCTACCAAAAACTCAACCAGAAGCGATTAGTGGAGTTATATGGAAAGTGTGAGGCCCGTCCCCTGTCTTCAGTGGCCCTTAGAATTTGTCACAGGAGGTACAGAAGAGTTAACTTTTGTGGGTATGAGTGTGTGGATGTGGGGGTGCGGTGGGAGATGGGACTAAATGCATTTAATCAGGGTTATGTACAGAGGTGTGGCCGCTTACCCGAGGCTTTACCATAGAAGAAAAAGTCTCTCCTTCCCCAGCAACTATTAACTGCCTGTAGCCTCCCTAAGAAGAGTGAGGCCTGAGTCCTTCCCCTGGGTTAGCTTTAATGTAGCAAGTTGAAAAGCAAGACTGACTGACAATCCCATTTCCATTTTGTGTCACGGAGGCTTGCCTGGTGATGATTTTGTTTCTTTGTCTTTAAAATGTAGGACCAGCCAGAATGACTACCCAGAAAACTGCCCCTAGCGGCTGCCGCTCTGACCTGGATTCCAGGTACCACAGACTCTGCGACCTGGCTGAAGGCTGGGGCATTGCCCTGGAAACGCTGGCTGCAGTCGGGGCTGTGGCCGCAGTGGCCTTCATGTTTGCACTCTTGATCCTCATCTGCAAAGTGCAGGACTCCAACAGGCGAAAGATGCTTCCCACCCAGTTCCTGTTCCTCCTGGGAGTGTTAGGGATCTTTGGCCTTACCTTCGCCTTCATTATCAAGCTGGATGGGGCCACGGGACCTACACGCTTCTTCCTCTTTGGCGTCCTCTTTGCCATCTGCTTCTCTTGCCTGCTGGCCCATGCTTTCAACCTGATCAAGCTGGTCCGAGGGAGGAAGCCCATGTCGTGGCTTGTGCTCTTAAGCCTGGCGTTGGGCTTCAGCCTGGTCCAGGACGTCATTGCCATTGAATACCTGGTGCTCACCATGAACAGGACCAATGTCAACATCTTTTCTGAGTTGCCCGCTCCTCGGCGCAATGAGGACTTCGTCATGCTGCTCATCTATGTGATGTTCTTGATGGTGCTGACCTTCTTCACATCCACCTTCACCTTCTGTGGATCCTTTTCTGGCTGGAAGAGACACGGGGTCCACATTTGCCTCACCTCTTTCCTCTCCATCGCTGTCTGGGTAGCCTGGATCGTCCTGCTCCTCATTCCTGACATTGACCCGGAATGGGATGACACCATTCTCAGCACAGCCTTGGTTGCCAATGGCTGGGTTTTCCTGGTGTTTTACATCTTCCCTGAGTTCCAGCGGCTCCCAAGGCAGCGCAGCCCCACAGATTACCCGGTTGAAGATGCTTTCTGTAAACCTCAACTCATGAAGCAGAGCTATGGTGTCGAGAACAGAGCCTACTCCCAAGAGGAAATCACCCAAGGTACAATTAAAGAGGCCTTGGTGTAAAGATGGGGGGAGGGAAGTTGGGCATAGTAGTGTAGGCTTGTGTATACGCTCCCAACACGTTGGAGATGGAGGCAGGGGATCGAACATTTAAGATCAGCCTGGGTTGTATAGAGAGACGGCTCTCAGAACACTTGTTCGGCTGGGGATGTAGGTCTGTACAGTGCTTGTTTAAGCAGGCGTGAAACACCAGAGACCTCCAGCACATGAAAAGGAGGCATGGTGGCACACGCTTGTAAGCCCAGCACTCGGGAGGTGGAGGCAGGAGGATCAGAAGTTCAAGGTCATATGTGGCTATTTGTGGCTTTTAGGGCCAGCCTGGGGTACATGACATGGTCTGAAAAGCCACCAAACCATTCCCAGCTATTAAACCTGTAATTTTCTAGAAATCACAGGAGTAATTCTGTTTGCAGCAGAAGGCTATTTCCTAATTGCCCTAATGTCTCCTGGTTTTGGCTTAATTGCATTAGAATCCCATCCAAGGCCCCTGGAGCCGACCTATAGTCCCAATAATGGAAAGGGGAAATAGAGACGGGAGGAGAAACAAAACAAACAACAGAACACCCCCAAACCAAGAAGCAAAAACTGAGAAGAGACAGACAGACACTGGAAGCTCCCAGCTCCCGCACGGCAGCTCACCACTGGTAACCCCAACTCCAGGAATCTGGCACCCTCTTCTCCGAGAACCAGGCACACATGCAATGTGTTTACATTGGTGCAGGCAAAACACTCACACCCATACAATAAATACAAATACGTAGTTCTTAAGATAAACCCAAACAGACACCAACAAAACAAAACAACCTAAGCTATAAGGAACCACAGGATACTGACCGGTTCTGATCTTGAGTAAACCAACCTCTGTATTAGTTACGTTCTGTTGCCATGACAAAATGCTCTGACTCAAAGCAAGCCATTTTGACCTCTGATTCCAGAAGGATAAGAGTCCATCATGGCGAGGAAGCTGAGAACACACATCTTCAGACATAAGCAAGAAGGAGACAGAGAGAGGAGAAAGAGAGAGAACACAAACCGGAAGTGGGGGTGAAGCCTTAACCTCTCAAAGCCCGCCCCAGTGACATACTTCCTCCAACAAGGCTGCACTCCCTAAACCTCCCAAGTAGCTGCACCAACCAGAGACCAAGTATTCCCACATCTGAGCCTATGGGAACCATTCTGATTGAAACCATTCCCTGGCCCTAATAGGCTCATGACCGGATCATAACACAAAACACACTTAGTTCAACTCCACAAGTTCCCATAGTCTTTTGGCCTCAGTAGTATTCAAAAACCGGACCAAGACAATCTCTTAATTGTAGCTACCCATAAAATCCAGTTGTACGCAAGCGGACCTGGACGCTTGCCTCTCAAATCTTCATCCAGTACTTTCTATACGATCCCACCCAGGCTGACCCAGAAAAAGATGGGACAAAGGAGAGGAAGACCCTCTAGTGGTACATGGGTGAACTTGGGCTCTGTGTACAGGAGGACGAAAGACACTCCCGAGGCTAGAGAAATGGCTCAGAGGTCAAGACCATGCATTGTCCTTCCAGAGGACCCACGTTCCCATCCCAGCACCCATATTGAGTGGCTCATAACCACCTGTAACTTTGGCCCCAGGGCGTCTGGTGGCCTCTTCTGGCTTCTATGGGCACTAATACATGTGCACACACCACACACACATACACACACACACATACATACATACACACATGCACACACACATACAAAAAAACATAGATCCACATAATCTTTTTGAAGGCATTCTGGCAGAACTGTGGAAGCTTTGTGGATTCTGGATGCATAGACCAGAGCTGCGATTTCCTTAGGCGGTCACAGAGGGTGGGAGAGAGGAAGCCCTGTTAACCCTGTTGGCAGATGTCTTCATCAAGCCCACCAGGGTTTTGACTTAGGAAGAACAGCCACCTTTTACTGTGTGTCTCTGGGCCCGTGGGAGGGGAAGGATCCCACGGGACATGAGAGAAAGTGATGGTTTGATTGTTGTCTCAGTTAGGAGGAGCTAGGGGCCATGATGGTGTTTTCAGAAGAAAATAAGGCTAAGTTGAGGGCTAGACACGCCCTGGCTTGTGGGGATCTGTTGCTTGCTTGTAGGCTATCCAGATCTTTGAGTTTGATCTCAGGAAGGGGTGCGGTTGCTGGCCCCGGCTAGAGGGACCTTCAAGGCTGGGTTCCTGGATCCAGCGATAAAGAAGGAGGTGGTGGCTCTGCTGTAATTGTTTTGAGGAAGGGTCTAACTATGTGGACCAGGCAGGCTTTGAATGTGTGTTGATGTCCCTGCCTCTTTCTGCAGAGTGCTGAGGTCATGCATACTGCTGAACTGCTAAATGCTTGTATAGTTGTTTTGTGTGTGTGAGAGAGAGAGAGAGTGTGTGTGTGTGTGTGTGTATAAGAGAGAGAGAGAGAGAGAGAGAGAGGGAGGTGCTGGTGAGGGAAGCCAGGGCCTCATGCATGACAGACAAGCTCTGTACCATTGAAACTGTCCTAGCCCCAGACTGTGCTGTTAAAGCTTGGTCACAGAGTTTCCTGGGGATAGAAACATAGGTTCACAGTCTTTCCCAGGGCCTCAATCTCCTACCTTACCCTGTACATCCATTGTAGGGCCCTAGGCCCCCAATGCCTCCTTTTTTTTTGGTTTCTCTTTCTGTGTTTGCTTCTTTTGAGGCTG